TGCTGCCTTCTCAACACCTTCCTGGGATGACTGCTTTCTGTAATCCCTCCTCTGAACAAGGGAAACTAATCAGATTAAGCCTAAAATAGAATATTTCTCTTTGCTATTAATTACTATTTTTTAAAGGTTAACTCACAATTTCGTAGTAGGGGCCCATTTGACATTTTCTACATTTTCCAACATATGATATAAAAATAAGTGGGAGCCCTTGATAAGCAGGGAGCGAATTCCATGGAAGTCACAGCACAACACCACACAGCATTCCAGAGAAACTGGCATCACAGTTAGCTGAATGTCAGCCCAGCTTCCTTCGGAGTAGCATTTTTTGAGCTTGGAATAAGAAAGTGGAAAAACTTAAAGGAAATAAAAATCCTTTACAGTTATAAAATTCTCAATATTTTTAAAGAAATAAATATTAGCAGCAAAAGTAATTTATAAAATATTTTGAGAATTCTCACCATTTGGGCCAAACATATGCCAGGTAGCTTATTAAAAATAAGAAATTTGTTCAAACAAACATCTTCATGTAGGCTTAGTTATCCCCTCTGAGTAGGCAAGAACTGCCTTATATAAACACCCACACACTTGAACTATTCCCCCTTGTACCTCTGGGAGGGGTGAACAAAGAAAAACGTAGGGAGTTTTCTTTTGTGGTAAAGCACGTACGCATAGCCTCAGGGTCTGTGGATCTTGCAGACTGTCTGGGTCTAACACAGCAGATAATATCAATTACTATGGCAGAGTTCCACTGTGAAGGCAAGGAACCTACAGGAAAATGACCCTTGAACTTTTCTTATGACTACAATTGTGTAACATTACTTTTACTCTAGTCACAGAGAAGTATCTCTGAAGGATCAAGTTTCAGTAAATTCTACCAATCATCTTCCTTACTCAAGGAAGTTAATCTTCCACTTCTGCTATGGTCAGGACTTATCAAAAATCTGACTTTAGGCATCTCGTCTTCTTGGCATTATTACATTCCAGGAGAAAGTTTTCAGTCTTCCAGATATCTCAGCATGAAAATCTAGTCTAAAATTTATATAATGTTATTAACCGATGTTATCCAAATAAATTCAATTTTTTAAAAAAGTGGATAAAGAAGGTTAAAAAATATAGTCTATCCTAACTCTTCCCTGCAGGTTCTTGATTTTGTTTCTACTGCTTAATTTATTTGGATGGAACTATGAGAGACTGACTTAGAAAACAAATCTAAGTGTGTGGATTTGACAAAAGAATATCTACCCTATAACAAAGTCTTATAAGAGTTTATCTGAGCCAAATTTTGAGGATATGCCTGGAAGCAAAATCACAATGGACTGAGAAAATGCTCCTGAGAATGGCAGCTTTGCAGCTTATTTTATACATTAGAGTCAAAGGAGACGTAAGGAGGGTTACATGAAATTCATTGGTGGTCGATTAAGGAGGCTGGAGGAAAGCAAAGCAGGGAAACTTCTTAGATTGGATAAAAAGTAAAATGGAGAAGCACATACTTCTTTTACATTTGTGGGTACAAGATGGTTAATAATGAACATCTATAACACATAGAGATGGTGTGCAGGACACAAGATAATAACGAGAAGTTCTGTGGTCTCTGCTCTGGTGCCTGCAGTTGTGCCTTCAAGGGGTGGAAAAGAACATTGCTCTGAAGTTTCGAGAGTATATCACCCTAGATGTATAAAAACAATGGACAGAGCTCACTTAAGATCAAGATTGACCTTTGCTAAGGAAGCTATAGGTCTGGGATGTGACTACATGTTATGACCTGCCCAGGTAGGCATTTGTGATCAGACCATCCTATGTGATTATTTTTGGTCACTGAGCGGGTCAGGCCTGTGATTTGCCCCACTCTGAACTTGTCAGTTTTATTATAAAGCCCACTTTTCATTCACAGATTAAAAATAGCAATAGCTTTGGGAGTATTTCATTAATGTAACTTTTTATCATTAAATTCTTTACTAGGAGATGAAAATTATTGAGGAAATACTCTGAAAAACAAAATCCCAAAGGAAAAATCAAGATATATTTTGGCCTAAGAGTTCAGAGACACCTTGGGAAAAGGCCAGCCAATTTCTGGGTCATCCCTGCTTGGCGTCATTCTTAGTCTGTGTCAGAAGTAAGATTCTTGCCAGACTTGGCCTGACCTCTCAGTCATTCTCTAGGGTGACGGTTATCAATCTTTCTGCTCCATACAATACTCCGAAAGTTTTCCCCATGAAATCCTGATGCCCAGATCCTACTTTTAACCAATTAAATCATGGTCTCTGGGAATAATACCCAGCATATGAACTCTTTAAATTCTCCCCAAGTGATCTTAATGGGCATCGACTGTTTTCGATCAAGGGCTTTCGCACTGTGTTTCCTAGCATTCTAGAGTGACTGCAGCAGCATGTGAAGACTGCCACTCCTTCAGACCCTCAGTCCAGATTCTTCGAGTTGCTCTCATTTTATTTCTTTCAAGTGTTTCAAAGAAGATAAAATGCCATTTAAAAAGTGGAAAACACTAGAGAGATATAATAAAGGATAGTCTTCATTGAAACAAAGCCCACCCCACCAGTGGTTGAGATGACTCGCTTATCACTGGGGCAGGAGGTAGGGAGAGAAGTTGTGTCTTCCAGGACATTCACTATAAAGAAGATGGATATTGATTAAACACTAGTTTGTAACTGCATATTTCTTTAACTGCTTGACTTCATATACCGGGTCAGTGAGATCCACCACTCATAGTTAGCCATTTGTTTAAGGAAGCATGCCTTTCTAAGACACTGATTACTATCCCTCATGTTTCCTCCCGTGACATAAATACCAGCAAAACCCCTGGGAGAAATCATTTTGTTATGTTGATTCCATCAGCAACCATTATTATTGCAGAAGTAAATTTCTTTATGTTAAATCTAGGGATAAAATGTTGTCACAATGCAATTAGTAACCGTTTTATAGGTTAGATACTCTTCCAAGGGACGCATATATTTTAAAGTGTTGTTCTTAAGCAAAATTACTCAATATCACCTGAGTTTAGATTTTCCTTCCTTCATCCTATTCCTTGAAATGATCCAGAAAATGTGATTAGATGAATGAATTAATTTACTTCCCCATTTTAATCTCAGTTTTTACTATAATTTAAAATTTATAAATATTTTTTCTCTGGTATTCATGTGGTTGTAGGATCAGGACATCTGAAACTAGAAAAAGATAGCTAGTCATAAGAACACACAGAAATATGGGCACTAAAAAATATAAGAATTAAAGTTTGGGGACTAGTCTAAATATTTTATGAACTTTCTATTGCTGAAAATTCCTTCTTTATGAATTGCCATTTTCACCTGAGGAAATAAAACAGGAAGTTAACCTTATTGATATAGTGAACTAGAGGCATAGTTTGAGCCTAACTGTCCCAAATAAACCTAAGGTGGAAAAGCTGTGCAGGATGGCAGAGCCTGGAGCCCAGGCAGAGGCATCGACCCCCAGTGCAGCAACAAGCCAGCTGACTGGTCATTCATGTGCTCCTGGCTGTAAGATTCAGGATAACAGGGTTGATTTTAACACTTTGATTTTTAAAATGAGGATACATTTTTTTATGGTTAAATGAATATTTGAGAATATACCAACATCGTGGAACATTTTATGTGGTAGAAGTTGAGTCAGATAAATTCAGGTACAGGTTTCGTCTCTATCTCTTACCTGTGGCATAACCTTAACCTTTTTGAACTGTAGTGTTATTTATAAAAATAGAAACAGTAATACTTCCTTCCCGGTATACTTGTGAGTTTTAAATATAAATCATATGCAAACTATCCAGCACATAATAGGTTGTCATAAACATTAAGTCTGCCTTTCCACCTTAGCAGAAGAGCAAAATTTAGAATATGGTCTCTCTTACAGCTAGACAAGTATTCTTTCTGCGTAACTCAGTTTTAACAAACAAGTGAACATTGCAAATATTATCTGAAGCTGCCTAAAAGCAGATTTCCTTTCAGATTCAAATATGACATTTTATATGTGTAATAAGTATGTTCCAACCCACAAAATGGATTAAACTAACCTAATGCTCTTGATCAAAGTCTTCCTCCAAAAGGAATAACTACAAAGCCACCGGCAGTGTAGACCTCCTCGCGGGGTTCCTCTCTGTGCTGAAGCTCCGCCTCTGCAGCTCAGCTTGCCCCTCGGCCTCTCTTAAAATGCCTCTATGGCTCAGTACACATTTTGGGCTTCATTAAGGCTTAGCCAGAAGCCTCTGCTAGAAATGATTAGACCTGTAGCCAGACTCTTGTGTCAGCTCCTCAAGGCAGCCTAGGTTCCCGTGGGAACTTTGGACAATGATGGGATTGGGTTGAACATATAGCAGTCAAGGCAGCAACCACACAAAGGGAAACAATCTTTATTCTTGCAGCTTCCACATAAGAGGTGCATGTACAGATCCACAGCTCTGTACATGCGAGAGGTTGTAAACGTCAAAGAATCAGGTATTGACTCTATTCTGGTTGCATAGGAGGGCAAAGGGAAAGGAGAGGGTAGGGACAGGTGACTTATTCAGCACAGTGAGCACTGTGCCTAGGGCCTATTATACCTTTGGGAGCCTACAAGTGTTTTTAACGTTTTAAAATCTGAAGAAAATAAACTTTTTGGTTGAAAAAATGTTTTAATATATAATAGTCATATATGGGTCTTTATATCAGTACAGTCATGAATATGTGTGTGTGTGTGTGTGTGTGTGTGTGTATTAACTGTAGAAAGGAGTCCCCGAAGGCAAAAGAGTTATGTGAGTCCTGCTGTCGACTCATAAAATCTTAGAACTTGAAGACATTGATCCCAACCATCAACCAAAGCAAGAGCACCTTTGTCACTATCCTTAACCAGTCAGTAGCTCAGCATCAGTTTGAGTACATCCTAACACTGCACTTGGGAGCTGTAAATCTGCTTCCCTTGGTGTTTTGTCTTATAAAGAAACATAAAATGTGAGAAAACACAGATATTCACAGGTTGCTGTTGATACAGAAAGAAGCTGTACGAAGGCTTGAACCGCTGGACACCATGAGTCAGCAATGGCGGCTGAGCTACACATTGTGGGCCGTACCCACGAGGACCATTGTGGTCTCATCTTGCTCAGGGCTAAGTTCTGGACCATCTTCCACCACCCTGTGGAGGGTGCTGTAGTGCTGCCGGCTCTGGTGGAAAGAATGCAGCTCTGAAGCAGCCTCCCAGGCGGCAAAAGAAGGCATGGGGAAGACCTCTGGCCTCTTGTTTTCAAAAAAGCTTTTCAGGTTTCTCTCACTCAGCTTGTTGGCGTAGTCCAGGAATGCATTTTCCAAATGCTCCTTCTCCTTTTGTGCATATGTCTTCCAAAAATTCAGCTGAAGGTAGCTAACTTTAGATCGGCAGCGAGCATAACAAGTGGTGAGCAGAGAGAAAAAGGATGCTGAACAAATCAGGCACCATCCTAGAATCTTAGAAGGAAAGAAACATTGTAAAGGCAAAGCCACCTCTCAGGGAGCTAGGTGATATTAATGGGGAGTGCATGGCTAAATTAAAACCACAGTCATTGCCATATCTCAGTTGAAATCTTTCATCTTAATTTTTTAACACTTTTTTAACAGTCAAAATAGAGTTACCTAATGATTTCCCACCCTACCCATCATTGCTGGTATGCAAGGAAATAACCAGAAGGCAGGCAAGTAGAAAAAAGCCAAATATATAGAATATTCAAGAATCAGGTAACCCAAGCCCTCCAACAGTATTAGCTATCGGAGGAAGAAAATTCTGTGCGTGGTTAAATGTGGTTATTTGAGCAAATGACCAGTTCCTTGGTCGTGTGTTTTCAGGCATTGATAAATTCATATATGTAGTTAGTAACTGATTTTTCCCAAATTCTATGGTTTGCAGGGAGCAGCAACCCTTTCTGAGAAAAATATTATTACTCATCATCAGTGATAAAGTGAAATAAACATAATACAGTAAGGAAACTGTAAGAACTAAAAGTCTGCTGAGAAAAACATTACAGTCACTCCAAAACCTTCAGAACTATATTGGTTCTCAATTTTGATCATAAGAAAAAACAAATTTCTCTCTGAGTTCAAACTGGTTCAGCTGGATTTTTCCCCCCTGAATATTAAAAACAGAGGCCTAGTTCTGGCCAGTTTGGCTCAGCGGTTAGAGCATCGGCCTGCGGTTCAGAGAGACCCGGGTTCGGTTTCCGCTAAGGGCACGTATCTCGGTCGCAGTTTGTCCCCGGCCCTGGTTGGGTCGTGCGGGTAGTGACCACTCAATGTGTCCCTTTCACGTCGATGTTTCTCTCTCTTTCTCTTCCTCTCTCTCCCTCCCACTCTATCTGAACAACAACAACAACAACAAAAATGGAAAAATGTCCTCAGGTGAGGATAAAAAAAACCCCAAAAAACAGAGGCCTAAATAATTCAACTTATCTTCTAAACTTTTTGTTGTTCTAATTATATTTTGAACATTGGAATTAATTTCATAACTGGACAACTAACAGAGCTCTTTCAAACTTTCTCTTGACATGTCAGTGAAATGACCCCTGGTATTTCTCAGCAGATGGGCCTGTTTGAAAATAGAAACAAAAATCTGCAAGAGAACTTATTCAGACCATAGCAGAACTACAAATGGGCTCCAGAGCTTTAAACCTGTGCTTCTCACACTCCGCCTGGGACCAGGGAGTCACTACGAAGGTCTCAGACTCCACATGAGTGCCAGCTCTGGGTTGGCCCCAGTGGGTTTAAATCTCAACTTTCCCCTTACTGTGGCTGCTCTCTGTGCCTCAGTTTCCTCAATTATAAAATGTGGGTGACCCACCTCAGAGGGTAATTTTGGGGATTAAACTGAGATGATGTAGACATACATGCGCATTCAGTAAGTATGAGCTGTGATCACATGCTGCTATTTTTCAAATATATATGTGGGTGTAAAAGCATTATTGAACACATGGTATCTTTCTATCATTATGATTAATGGATGAGACACAGCTACCATCGTGTGAAAGCCCTCATAGTCCCCTGACTTGATCCTCTACCCTCCCTTTTTCCCTCAGCCAGGCCTCCTGTGGGCCAGTAAGCGACCGTACCTCGGTATCTGAGCCAACTCTGCTTGAGTTTTAAACTGTTTGGTCAACTTCACCCTCCCTTCTCTCCCCACGCCCAGAAATGACCCTAGTGTCACCTTGCTCTCACCTGAGTACTGAGCACTGCATCCTCTTCTTCCCCGGCTCACAGCACCCAGGATCTTATTAGACATGGTGGATGTTCCCACTCCTGTCTTCAATACTGTCCCATTCTGCATCAGTCTCCTCCTCAAACCCTGGCAGTTTTTTCATCAATCTAGAGCCCTTACTGTGTGCCAGCAGCTTTATGCCCACTTATGTCCATTATCTCCATACCTTCAAGCAACCCTTCCAGGTGGGTGTTATTCCCCCAACTAGAGGAATCTGGGGTTCAGAGAGGTCAAATCACTAGTTCTAGGTCACAGAGCTGGTGTTAGAATCAGGACTCAAATCCAAGGTTAGCAAACTCCAAGGCCAAGTTCTTCCCACTACTACACTCTACCTCCCACAAGAAAAAGAGCACCACTCACCTGGATTTCTGGTTTCCCTGCTCCACCCACGAATGGGACATTTTTCACCCCACCCACATGCCCAAATATTAGCCTGGACTGTTTGTTGCTCCGCTTATCTGAACTACTGTGAGCACCTGCTATTGATACAGCTCACCTTGTCCACATCCCTCACGCATCCTCCCCTGGGAATCAGCCCCAGGTCCTTCTCATTCTGCTGAAAAGTAAACAGGTCAGTGTGCCCAGGGTAAGCTATGACAGCATGTGCATGATTCCCTGTGTTTGTGTTTAGAGAAGAAAAGCTCACACACTGGTAAGTGTTTGGATCTGGCACTAACTGAATGGAGCCTGGTGCCTGGGGACATAAATCATCAATCACTCATCATGTCATAACATTCGTAATTAACACCTTCCTTCAACAAGAGAAGGAAGATAATTGGGAGCCTGGCATGTTTTACCTAAGATGTGCTTTGTGCATCAGACAAAAACGTTGGAGTATGTTTAGGCTTATCTGTTTAGGAAAAGTATATGACAATCCTGCCAGCCAGCTTTGGAATAATATATGGTTTTAAAAACAGACTTTGCCTTGATGTGTAAATCCTTGTTGAAAAAGTACAATTATACTAGTTTCAGTGCATTTATCCCATAACAAGTAGCATTGCTGACCAATTGTGGATGTTTATCCACTCTTGCTGCTTGTTTTGGTTTGGGGAATGCACTTCCTTCCACTCGCATGTAGGAATTCGGTCTTTTCCTGAGGCCAGGGCAAGGCTCCACATCTGGATTTGTGCTCATGTACTTGGAAGGCTGACAAGCTACTTCCCTGCGTCAGGGAAAGCTATGATTCCCTTCTGTTAAATAAAATAATGCCCCACATCTTGAGCTTCTAAAGTAATGTAAGACTTCTTCAGCTGTACCACACTAAGAGCGGAGGACATCATCCCCCTGGAGAATATGATTACTTTTTACTGAAGACTATTTCAAAAGTGCCAATTCCTACTTTATATAGGAAACTCTTCTCTTATTTATTTATTTTTTTTATCTTCACCCGAGGACATTTTTCCATTTTTTGTACAGATAGAGTGGGAGGGAGAGAGAGGGAGAGAGAGAGAGAGAAACATCGATGCGAAAGGGACACATCGAGTGGCTGCCACCCGCACGACCAACCAGGGCCGGGGACAAACTGCAACCGAGGTACATGCCCTTAGCGGGAACCGAACCCGGGTCTCTCTGGACCGCAGGTGGACGCTCTAACCGCTGACCCAAACCGGCCAGGGCAGGAAACTCTTCTCAATCCTGACAATTTTTACACATAGAAATAGAAATTTCCAGAATTATTCAAGAGAATCTTGATATTAGTTATATTATGTACAACTTTGCAAAGTATTAGCGCATTTGGTTCAGCTATATGTTAATAGATGAACGCTATGTGTATGAGTTTTTTTTTTCTTTCTGAGAAACCAGTTTGAAAATAAATAGTTGATAGAAGGCAGTAATTTCTAATTACCTCTCTGGACTTAACATTCAATTATGAGTTAGCATCATGCATTATTTATAAAGTCAACCCAGAGAGATAGTATTAAAGTACTTAAATATTTACGTACACAGAACCCAGAGGATATTTTCTGTTTGGAAATGGAAAAGACAATTCAATTGGCAATTTTACTGAGCCATCCAACCTCTGAAAAGCTTTTTCTGAGGCTGTCTTAACACTGCATCCCATTCCAATCTCAACTTTGTATCAGACTGTTCTAGCAGGATTCAGCCCTGGCTGGAAGGAGAACTGAGAGACTCCTAGCTGGGAGGAAACGCAAGGTTGTCCTTTTTGTTTTTACCTGAGACTGGGCTTGCAGGGACAGTTTCAGTTCTTCACTGTCCGTGGCTGTCATGCTGGTTTTGCCACACGATACCTTGTAAAGCTCTTCCCAGCACTCTTTGGGCTTGTCCTTGCAGATCAGTCCCAGGAGTCTTGAACTTTTTGTCCCACTCATAGCACATTCATAAAAAGTCCCATTGAGCAAAGCCACAGACAACCACATCACTGGAGCCACCAAGGAACTCAGAGTGATCTGCCCCAGGACATAGAAGAAGCGGCCGCTGTGGCCTCTGGGGAAGATTTTCCTGGGATTCACACAGCAGCCTGTGAAGAGTCTCCACGACCTGTTGTTCAGAAAGAATCCCAGGATCAGTAAAACCCAGGCGGGGGCGAAAAGGAACACCAGCCCGTAGACCACATTCTCAGAGCTGCAGGGGCACTTAAATGCCACGAGGGAAAAGAGACGCTCACTTCCCAGGGTCAGCAGGGCCATGAAGCTGTAGCCAATAACAGTTTTCTGGTTCACGATGAATTTTAAAATCCCATTGAAAGCATCCATTTTGAAGATAAAGAGGGGAAATGCTTTGCCTTTATTTGTTGGCAGAGCAGCCGTGGCTGTGGCCAAGGGTAGAGATCTTTCTTCTTTGGAAGCAACAGTCCTCCTTCTCAGACTAAATTCTGCCAGATAAAAAAACAAAGTCATTCCCGAGGAATGAATATTTCCCAACCATGTTTAGACAATGCCTCCTACTGGTGGGTATTGGGCCATGAAACTAGAGCCAGAACACTGAGAATTAAATCCAAAGTGCAAAGCCTCCATTTTTATGATGTTTCCATGCACTGGGAATCTGAAAGAAATTCTCACTCTTAAATAACAGCCTAGGAATTTTCCATCCGGAGAAATCAACATCACCAGAAATGGGTTACAGCCAGTTGGTCAGAAGCCAAATCAATCTCCAAGCCTGGAGTTTCCTGCTGTTTTTTTTTTTTCTCCTGCAACTTAAGAGCAAAGATACACTTTATATCCTTTTAAGCTGGCTCCTGTCAGAGACTTAAAGAAAATTTCAGGACTGGGGCTACTTGAAATTTATTTGGAAAAGTTCAGGGAGCCTTTGAGTTTTGAATAAAAGACAAAATGAGAAGCATCCTCATCATTTCTTTCCTAGGCTATCATAGTAATCTCTTCATTGGTATCTCTGCCTTTGACCTCATGCTCAGTCCTAAACCCGCCCTCCATGCTGACACAGAGGATATCCCTCTAAAACAGAAAGTCTGCCTTAGCTTACTTATGGCTTTGGGCCTCCCCACTGCCCACAAGCTGATAAATGCCCACTTCCCATGAGTCTTTTCATGGTATTTCATGCCCACGATATGCTCCCTCTACATAGAATATCACCACCACCCCCTACTTGGCTCACCTGACAAACTCTCTCAGTATTCATGAACAGGGCAGCTGTTCCTTCCTCTGTGAGTATTTCCAGATTGTGTCCTAATACAGGATGTGGCAAAAGTAGGTTTACAGTTGTTCGTATGGAAAAGAATGCAATAATTAATAAATAATAACACAAGAATAAACTCTGTGTTGTGCATACTCACAACTGTAAACCTACTTTTGCCTCACCCTGTATATAACATTATACTCGCAGGACTCATCACAGTTATGTGTTTAACATTTTAGCCCTTTTTCACTATAAGTTCTTATAAAACAGGAACTACATTTTAACTGGGTCTACATATTCTGGGTCTAAACATGGTGTCAAACAGAATAGATGCTCATTCAATGATTTCTTTTTCAAATAGTTATTGAACTTCCACCTGTGTCAGTCACTGTACTAGAGAGGCAGTGCTCACTGAGTACTTATTGGATGAATGAATGAATGAATGAAGAACATTTAATTAGAAGTACTTCTAATTAGAAACAATTTAAGGAAATTATTTCCATTTCTTTCCTACACTGGTGTTAATTATAAAATTAAATTAATTAAAGCACTCGAAAGACAACAACATATCAAGCTGACATTCCCATTAATAAACCTCAAATTCCAGGCCCGTGTTTTTTGTGAAACGAAAGTGCTGTGGTCTAGGAGCCAAGGAATCAAGGTGTAGTGTGGCGTTGGCCGTGTCATTTTATTTCTCTGAATCCTGGTTACTTATTTGTGAAAATGGGAATGCAACAGAAATAATCTTCAAGATTTCTTCCATTTCTGTATTGTAAACACTGTTAAGTCCTGTAAAACAGGAGATGTTTTTGAGAAGTTTCTTTATGACTCATCTATGTGCCTTTTGCCACTACTCCTTGCTCCTTGTCAGAGACTTGTCATCCTTAATGACATGACTCCCTCCACTTTCCAAAGCATACCCTTGAGTCTAACCTTGCTGTATCATCCGTTGCTCTGTCACATTCCTGTTAGGGCAGCTGTGTCCCTTCTAAATCACAAGATTATCTTTTACTAGTCTCAGTGTGACAAATATCATACTAATATGTGGATGATTAATCATATTTTAATTTCCCACCTTCCTAAAAGATACTTATTTTTGAAAAATTTTGTTCCCACAGAAACCTAGTCCCTCAAGATGTTCCATAGAAATAAATGGACCTAAGACTTGCACTAGTCACACGTGCAGGACATTTCAGAGCTAAGTGTGAGCGTGGACTTCCTGACTGCAGACTCCGTGTGCTTCACCATTACCCAGCACTGCCTGGAAAAGGGCTTTTGGGTGCCCTATTTATAGACATTTGTTCTAGACCAAACTTGAATAACTTTTTCCCCTCTTTGTTAGGTCGCTTTCAAGATGTACTTGGGGATTACACCAAGTGTGACCTGTAACAATTCAAGCAGAACTGCATTTTCCCTGATTCTAGACAAGAATCCTCTGGTGGAGTTTGTGGAAGAGCTCCCCGCTGGGCGGTCCTCTCTGTGCTACTGCAATCTACTCTGTGGGATTATCCGAGGTGCCCTGGAAATGGTAACGCTCCTACTTCATTTTGCTGAGTACATGTGCTATCTAGCGCTGGGTAACAAATGACCCCAAAATGTAGCAGCTTAAAACAACAAATGTTTAGTATTTTACATGGTTTCTAAGGATCAGAAATCTTGGAGCAGTTTAGCAGGGTGGTTGTGGCTCAGAGCCTTTCCCAGCTTCATACACATGAGGCCACGCTGCTGGTCAGAGCTGAGGGCTCTGAAGCCCACTCACATGGCCTCAGTACCTTGCTGGCAGTTGGCTAAAAGCTTCATGACCTTCCTTGCCAAACAGGCCTCTCTGTAGCTCTAATCACAAGTGCTGCCAACACTGGTGCAAAGTGGGAGGAGATTACCTGAGGGCTTGAATAACAGGAGGCAGGGATCATTGCAGACTATTTTGGAGGCTGGCTTCCACACCTGAATTATTCATCTATTTAACTAAGACAATTATTAGCATCTGCCAAGAGTTAGGCACTGACCTTACAAAGATGAACAGGACACAGTTGCTGCCCCTCAAGAATCTTCTGTCCTGCAGAGAAATCATGTATGTAAAGAAATGTAACTAAGGCTATGGGAGGACCTAGGTTGGGGTGGATAGAAGATCCGGGATGACTTTCTAGAAAAACTCTGATCTGGCATTTGAAGGATAGATCAGAGTTAGGTGAAGTGAAGGCTTGGGGTGCGGAGAAAATAACTAGCCAGGAGAAAGGAGCAGCATGTCCACATGCACGAAAAGACTGTTTCAGTCAAGGAACTTAAGTTAGTTTACTATGAATGACATGTAGCTTGAAAGAAGGATTGTCATGAAAAAAAAAGATTTAATTTCTTTACAGAGGTCTGATTTTTTTAAAGGCATTTTTTAAAAGGCATATGACAAGTTGGGAATGAGATTTTTGTACTGAAAACAGCAGAGACCCATTATAGGTTTCTAAATAGGGAAGATATTTTGAAATTTGTGTTTTAGGAATTTCATTCCTTTGTCAGGCACAGGGAAGTGTGCAGGAGGGGACAATGCTGGAGGGGGAGAGAGAGCAGTTAGGAAGTTGATCATGGTAACTTCAAGAAACACCAGACAAGGCCCTGACAGTGAGTGGAGACAATCTGTCAAAGACTGATGAGCCAAGGACAGTTTAGGCAGAGGTAATAACCAACAGTCTCATTCTCCAAGAAGCTAAGCTATTTAGAATAGTGAGACCAGATAGTAGCCCAAGGCTAGGCATGTGTTGACCTACCCAATAATGAAGCATGCATATAATTTTCAATTATTTGTGATAATTAGGGAAAGGACATAATAACAGGTAATCCAAAAGAGTAAAACAATAGAAATAAATATATTAGTCACACAAATCTTCGACACTTCCACTCTACCACTTTTTAAAGCTTGCTCTCCAATCAATGGCCATGAAATCGAGAAAGGGGGAGGAAAGAGTTCTGGGAGTGAATGGGATGAATCAAAACCAAGCTAGAAATAAGAAACACTGGTGCAGCCACTATGGAAAACATTATGGTGTTACCTCAAAAAGTTAAAAGTTGAACTGCCATTTGACCCAGTGATCCCACTTCTAGGAATATACCCTAAGAAGCCTGAAACACCAATCAGAAAGAATATATGTACCCCCATGTTCATAGCAGCACTATTTACAATAGCTAAGATCTGGAAACAACCCAAGTGTCCATCAGTAGATGAGTGGATAAAAAAGCTGTGGTACATGTACACAATGGAATACTATGCAGCTGTAAGAAAGAAATATCTCTTATCATTTGAGATGACATGGAAGGGCCTGGAGAGTATTTTGCTAAGTGAAACAAGCCAAGCAGAGAAAGACAAATATCACATGATCTCACTTATTTGTGGAATATAATCTCACTAATTTGTGGAACTAAACACACTGATAAACAAAATTGACCCAGAGACATAGAGATAGGGTACAGACTGACAAACCCCAGAAGAGAGGGGACTGGGGAGGAAGAGATAAACCACAGAACTTATATGCATGTATGCATAACCAATGGACATAGACAACAAAGCTGGGGATGGGAGTGGGGAAATGGGGAGGAGGGTGTCAATGGGGGAAAAAGGAGAAATATCTGTAACAAAAACAAATTAATAAAAAAATGAATTATATTATATGTGCTGAATGACAGACACATAGGCATCAGGCAACATGTGGCCCCAAATATCCAAATAGCTTCAGTGTGGTCTCCTTGTTATTTTGTTTAATTTTCTGTCAAAAAAGATCTTACAGAAAAAAATGAGAGTGAATTAATCTTATATATTTCAAAGTGCAGTCTACATCCTTCTTTTGGGTGGTGGGCATCACAAAGGCATGTTTTTTGTACCCTGCATGAGCCAAATAGCTTGGCCTACCCAGGTCTATGGTTTAACAAATCCCAGGCTGGTTGGCCAAGGAATTCTTAGTGAGAGAGGGTAACGAGTCTGGTAAGATTATAATTAATTAATTATTAATTGCTCACTAGGACCAGGCTTTTCCACTTGTTATTTGCCTCTGTTAGGTACTTTTGCTTATTTATTTTCTTTACCCCAGTGACTTAAAAATAGCTGAATGGTATTCTATTGAGGGTAGATCAGCAATACCATGCTGCTCTTATGTGAATATATTTTAATGAACAGAGAAGTCAGCCCTTAGGGTTTACTTCAATGCCTGGGAAAGGACTATGCTCATAGAGCAAAAGAAGGCCCCCACATCAAATATTCATGTCTGTAATTTCTATCTTTGATTTTATATTCATAATTTATTTAATCTATATTTTTTCAAGCCTCTCAAAGCCGTAAGTGATTGCTAAGTATTGTTAGGACAATACTTATTATGCTATTTAGCTAGGACTGAATGATATATGGCAAGTCAGTTGGAGAGGAATCATTTATGAATTCATTTATCCTTGGTAGTTCTGCTTGCGAGGCACATTGGTTCAAGGCTATCTTTGAGTTGGGAATCTGTGTTCTTCTTGAGATAGATTCATAATTCAGCCCTGCGAGGAAAACTTGGCATGGCCCCACATCTCTGGGCTTGGCCCAGAGTCCTCCAAGTTAGGCCTGGCCTGGACCGCCCATCTCTTTGCAGACCCACAGCACAGTGCTCACACACAGCCAGACCATCTCTGAAGGACACACAGGAGAGGCCCTTCATCCACAGAGCAAGCTCTTTTTGACCATTCCATAAGGAAAGTCAGCTCCTTGTGGGGTAAATAAAGCTGAAAAAAGAGACAGAAAAATGTGGTGAGGTTTTTTTAAACCTAAATGATGAAGGATTTTTTTTTTTTCTCTTTCCTAGGTTCATTTGGTTGCTGATGTTACATTCTTGCAAGATAGACTAAAAGGCGACAGTGTGACGGAAATAGGAATAACATTCCTGAAAAAGCTAGATGAGAAAAAATACAGACGGAAAAAATGAAGAAAAGGATGCAAAATGCCACAGGCTGACTAGTTGAAGAATTAATATTAGCTAAACATATACAGCCAATGAAATTCTAAATTGCTTAATAGCATGGGCTTTAAGGAGATTATAAATCAGCCAGAAATTTAAAATGAAATACACTAGAATATTAAAGCTGGTTTCTTTCTTTTGCTTTTAAGTCACACATTTTCAATCTCATGTCAAAATTTCATATACAAATAACTCCTTATAAGACAGGAAGCATGAATTTCACATATTATATAGTCCAGCGTAGGAGGTCTATTCATTTCATTTATTTATGGTAACAGAAAAAGAAAAGAAAAAAAGTGTCACCTATACAGCTGGTGTATTTATCTCTTCTCATTGAAAAAAAATGGATGAAATGATACAATATACAATATGGAGTTCCACTATATATAGTTTCTATATACTGTGCATTGAATTCTCTATAGAAACAGTTCTATTTGTAGCAATCTTTCATATTTTTGAAAAACTATGGATATGATTTTTCTCATATATCGGCTTGGCTTATAGCTTCAGCCTCCTGAAGCTACTCTAGATTTGTGATCAACAAGGCAAAGCTATTTATTTGGATGCTAATTCTGAGACATTTAAAAATATCATTTAATTTTAATTAATTTAATTTTTAGATAGCTGACATTAACCAAATTCTTTCCTTTTTTCATGAAATATTACTAATGGTGAGGTCAAAAAATCATTAAAATGAGAGGTAAATAATATTCTTTGAGAATACTTTCTTAATCAAAGCTTATTCAGTTAAAATTTTTTACTATAATTTGTATCCTCTAAAATCCTTACAAAGTATATTTTGTCTGTGACCAGAACATATTTAACGTTCAAAATGTACTGGAGAAAATAAACAATAATCTTCACCAGACCATTAGCACAGAAGGGCAGCCTATACAGCAGTATGGAATCTACTGGATTTTGCAGAGAAATCAATTAAAAATAAAAGTTACAATTTGTATGTTACCATCAGTTAAAACTGCTGTAAGTGATATAGTAGTGACAGAAACCTGAAGATAAGGACTAGTTCTGTTTCTAGTGGCTTCAGTTTATGCTGACTAGTGGCTGATCTTGGGTAAGGTATATAATCAATCTCTCTATCTCATTCTCTCTATCTGTGAACTGATAGAGAAGATAGGATATGTTAAATATCTAAAATTATATCAATGCGTAAATGACATCAATAACCACTGAAAAATTCCACATATTTGAATTTTAAAAGACTATAGGGAAATTTTATTGCCCACCTACCCAGATGTCTCTTCAGAAGGATGTTGAGATAGGTATTAAGGACCAAATAGAGTCACTGGGGCAGCTGTACCATCAATGGAAGGACCCTGAAACCAATTCCACAGAAGGCCAAGAGTAGAATCTGGAAACTCAATCAATGCAGAGATTTTTGTTATCTTGAAAAAGCCAGAGGGAAAGAAAGGTTTGGGGCAGAGAGACAGTTTAGTGCTCTCAAGTGACATCACCAGGTTGTTGCCCAAACTGTTCACCGAGGAGGACTATCATCTATTTAATGTTGCCAGGCATCAGGAATACTTCTCTCAGCAGCCTATACACTTATTTATTGTCTTCTCAAATCTCTCTGTAGTTAGCTAATTATGGATGGGAAAGGAAGCAAAGGGGGAGACACTGTTGAGCATATTCAGCTAGGAAGCAGAGGCCTGTATGGTTCACCATAAAGCTGCAGCTTCACGCTCCTCCCAGGAAACCACCAGTCCATTCCTGACAGATCAGTGGGGGAAGGGATAGGCCAAAGGGGGAGGAAGTAAACACATGTGCAATAAAGTCAAAATGGCATAGAAGGAGGTATTCCACCATAGAGGCCTGTCAGTTTAATCTTGGAAAAAGACCATTGGCGAGGGGGTGGACCCCAATGCAAGCCCACAAAAGTTTGGGAAGCTGATTAGTTATTTTGAATAAGCTTCTGATTCCTCCCAAGCTTGAGAATACAGAATTCCAGATGAACAAAGAATATCCCCCCCCCACCCCTTTGTAACCTGAACTCACCTGTGTGTGCACGCATTCTCTCCCCATAGCCATGTGGCTGTTTGCCGTGCGGACGCCAAACTCAGGCTACAGGTGGGAGCCTGAATCCCACAGCATAGCAACAGATTGCAGCTGGGAACACAAACTAAGCTAGCTGGATATTGGGAACTTAGCTTTAATATGGAACAGAATCTTTGGAAATTGATTCTATTTCTGGCCCTGATTTTCCATGGCAAAAGAGACAGAGATGGGGCACTGGGGAACTCCTTTAATTTTGCTTCCTGAAAAACTTTGCCACCAGACCTCTCCTGTCTTGTGGGCCCCTGGAAATGCTTTTCCTCGCCACACTGCAAGAACTCCACATCCACCTGTAATATCTCAGATTTATCTATTAGGAGGCTGGATCTCTTTAGCAGTTGGAATGAACTATTATGAATAATTGAAAAGTTCCCTCTTCTCCCTGTTTATGAAGGACCAAGAATATTCATTCCTACAACCCCTTTATTTCCTTCTTTATTCCCTTTTCCATTTCTTTTATTTTAATTATGCTTCATGTAATGGATATTTGTTGGCTGCCTATATGTTTCTGCCTTCTGACAGAAGGACAGTTTTCTGTTCAGGTGCCCACCATTTTATTAAGCAACCCATCTATTTCAGGGGAAGTCATCACCTGAGCAGAGTGGCTCATTCCCAGTTTAAAACCACCTTCTTGACTGCTAAATATAAGCCAGTCAGGACATGGTATTCCCCAGACTACAGTCATTGCTGCTGACAGAGGGAGGAGGACAGGGACCACTCAACTGAAAAGCAAGGCCAGCCTGGTCCATGAGCCAATACATTTACTGTAGTCTCTAAGAGAGTAGAGTTGGGTTTCTGTTACAGTAATGCAACCAAATGCATTTCATTATAAATATGTGACAGACAATTTGCAACATATTTGAGAATATCAAGGAGACCTGTTCATTATTACATTTTTACATAGTTGGATGTACAACAAAAGAAAATTTGAGTTTACAATAGCTCTCCTTCTCACAGAGAGGAAGGGGTTACAGAAGGGAGAAAATAGCAAGTTGTGTTTAGTTTGCATCTACCCAGCACACAAGTCCCAGAAAGGGAGATTCTGCAGGGAGAGGGCATTTATACCAGTGCAGTGGGGGATCTTTAAAAACAAGCAAACAAAAAGCATAACAAAACAAAAAGTACCTCAAACATTTCAGGCCCTTGCTTCAATGATATCCAACGGAGACTTAAACCACATTAGGAGTCACTTGAGGATTCAGAGTCAGAACAATCCTCTGATTTCTGGAGCCTCCCAGTGGCCTAAATCATTCAAGCCAGCAAACTGTATTCAGTGACTTGCTCTTGCAGTGTAGTTTATGAATCACAAGACTTAATGACTTAAAAGAGGAAATTCTAATTCCCAATGGTCTATACATGCCAAACAATATAAGCACCTGGAAATGCGGCTTTCTCAGTTTTGAATTCAATTAAGATTTTTATCAGGCATGTTAATTATGTGGTATGTCAGTTCATCAGATTATGTGGTATGTCAGATTCAGCCTGTGAATCATTAGATAACAAAGAAAGGGGAGCTGGATTCAGAGAAAGAGGAGTTGAATACGGAAACTACAAAGGAGCTACATTTGCCCAAACTTCAAGTTCATTATGGTGAGGGGTTGGTGAGTAAAGGGAGCTGGCAATGGCTCCTGCCGTAGCTGCGGAGGCTGAGTGAGGGCCCACAGGAGGCAGAGCCAGTGTAGGAAAGAAGCTAGTAAGTTTGGAATATTTTCAGTCTGAGGTTTCTTTGAAACATCTAATAGCTGCAGGACTCAGAAGAGAGGTAATCAGTATGTGGATAATAGTAAAGGCACTGGGTGTCGACACCAGCATCTGGGGAGAGTCTGCACTTGAGAAAATATAAGGAGCAAAAATAGAATCGGGGTGGGGGAGCACCATTCAAGAGGCAGCAAAGAAAGAAGAGCACAGGTAAGACCAAACTTGCAGTCAGAGATGTGCACAGGAGAAACGGTGGCACCGAAGCCAGCAGTCTCAGGAACACAGTGATTAGGGGTATTAGATGACACAGAAAAGCCAAGAAAGGGATGTTTAATTTGATAAGGAAAAGGTGTTTGCCCTAGAGCAATTTCAGGGCAAAGTGGAGGCAGTGGCCTCCCTGTGGGTGGATTGAAGAGTCAACAGGAGGTGAGATACTGTGTATAGATGACTGGTAGAACTTGACTATAAATGGAAACAGACACAGAATAATCAGCAAAAAGTTAGGTTGTCTACTCCTTTTACTTTTTAAGAACACAGGCATTTGACAATATAGGAGACAGGGAATGACTGATGAAGCAAGGTTGAGAGGAGGTAGGAGGGGGTGGGATCCAGATCAGAAGAGAAAGGTTTGGCTCCAACCTGCATTGAGACTTCCCCTTCCCCTAAGAAAAGACTGATGAAGGTGAGAGTGGGCATTAGTGGGGATGGGATTGAAGGGGTTAGGGAAGACCTTGATAGAAGTCATGACTGTTGGCTCAATCTTCCCTGTGAAGCAGGATTCAAGATCTATGTGGAGAGGAGGTGGGCAGAGGCTGGATGAGAGCCTTCTTCTGTGGGCCACTGCTCATATTGTCAGCACCCTGGAAGTAGAAAGTTCTCCAGCCTTCAGGTTGAACAATCATACGCAGGCCTAAGGAGAAAATAAAGATCACCTTCACTTCCTCTGTCTCCAACAAACCAACACAAGGTGGGGGATAACATCCTGACCTGAGACCACATAAACAGGACTTCCTCTGTCTCCAGAGGAGACAGGGAGATTTGGTTGCGAGCTCTCTTAGGAAGCTCTTCCAAGCAGGGCCTAGATTTGTGGCTACAAAGTTGCCCCAGGTACTCTGCATCCTGAAACTGCTCCTGGGATACAGGTAGAAATGACCACTGAGGAAATCACGGAAAACCAAGACTTGCAAGGAGATTTTCCCCCAAATGTAAAATAAATG